TAAGATTATGCTTAGTTTTATATTTTGACTATTTGAAATCAGCAGTGGTCTTTTATTGTTTCATTAGTACTCAAAGACATGACTGACATGTCTGACTTGCTTGGATGTGAGCATGCCATCCATCTAGCTCCAGGTGATGGACCAAGGAATTGCTATACTTATATTTTCTAGCTGTCTTACTGTGGAATATTTTTCAGATGAAGGATTCAGCTTTAACCCTTTGAAAATAGAGGTCTTTGTACAGACTCTGCTACACTTGGCAGCCAAATCATTCAGCCACTCCTTTAGTGCTCTTGCAAAGTAAGTGCAATAAGAACATATACTCTGTTTTGAGGGTTTGGCACGTTGCTTGGTGCATACCAGTGATACAGTAATCTTTAGCTAAAATGGTTGAACGTGAAGATCTTAGTATTGTCTTGTATTTTAATACAATGGTTCTGGTTTGTAGTAGCTAACACCCTGTTTGGCTCCTGTCAGTCCGTGTGGACCGTTTGCCTATATACATGGCAGGTACATTTTTTCATGTGTACTTTTAGAGAAACTAGTGAGAAACCTGGGTCCGTAGGACAATCATATATATAGTCAAGAAGCTCCCACCCTGTCTAAACCTCTTCCTAAAGGAAGGTAAGCAGAAATGAGAGCCAACTACATTTTGGGGAGTCACCCAAAGATTGACACCTATAGACAGAGCTTTCTACCACCTCAGACAATGCAGAAGAAGGAAGAGCATACAGATACTCCTGCAGCGGAGCAGAGAAACCAGATCTCTACTGCAGGGTGCCCGCGGACAGTGCAGTCAGGCTACTGCTTCACCTGCGTTCAGAGACCGCTCCCTAGCCCTCACCTGTTCTTAGCTACACGGGAAACTGGGGTTCTAGGCTGATGGTGGTATATTGAAAATCTCTTTTAAGATTTTGTCACAAATTTCATACAGACCATGAATTCTTAATCATACCTTTTATATCCTTAATGGTTAACATTCAGTTACTTTGTATTTATGTATTACACTGTAAACTGAGTAGCATCAAAAAGGCCTTGAAAAACTTAAAATCCTTAATGAATAAGTTGATCTGTGGTATTTTTACCCCCACTGTCAAAAGGTTTCATGAAGTCTTCAAAACCCTGGCTGAGAGTGATGAAGGAAAGTTACATGTTCTAAGAGTTATGTTTGAGGTCTGGAGGAACCATCCACAGGTAAAAATTGTAATTGGACATGCTGAGGCTCGGACTATATAGGTATAAAAATAAGGCAGTTAATGCCATTGTGTTAAAACATGAAATTTGAGTCTGTCTGTAGAATGGTTTTAAACTCTGTAGTTTTTTTAATGCTGTAGAAGTCATGGTATTTGATTCATTCATTAAAGAGCAAGTGTTATATGATCAACCCATTTTAAATTTGTAGTAAGAATACTTGTTGCTTGGAAGAGTCTACCACTTGGGTTAGGAAATAGTTATCAAGTCTACCCAATTTCTACAAACCAGCTTTGAGGCTTTCTCAGACCTCAGTTACTGTTTTCATACTATATGTTTTAAAGAGGCATTAAAGTAATTGTGAATATATTAACACTTTTTTTTATAATAAAACATTCTTAGATTTTTTAATTTAAGGATTCAGCGGAGTTTGTATGTTTTGTATTCTCTAATATTTTCAAAAAATTTTAGATGTTAACCACTAACAGTTTTTCTTTTCGCTCCATCTTAACTGGCGTTATAGTTCTCTTACTTTTTTATAGTAAGTACCAGAGCCAAACAGAGTGCAGAATAAATCTTAAGACCTAATGATTGAATTAATCCGTTCCATAACCACTGAAAATGAATTTCAGACTTTCTATTTTGGTTTTGTAGCCGTGGGATTTTTGTGGCTTCCGTGTAAGTGTGATTTACCCTAATGGTTCTTTTCTCATTGTAGATGATTGCTGTACTAGTAGATAAGATGATCCGTACACAGATTGTTGACTGTGCTGCAGTGGCAAATTGGATCTTCTCTTCAGAACTGTCTCGAGACTTTACTAGGTAAGTGTGGATTATTTTACAAAGTTTGTATTCTCTAAGAATCCGTTTATATTTGGTCTCATGCATGAGCTCCAAATTCTGGTTCAGACATCGTTAATATACCAATGGTCCAATCTGGTAGAATTGGACTTGGCAAAAGATTCCTGGACAATGCGAATACACAGCCAGGCAGTTTTGCAGTGCCTCTTAAGGACACACCTGTAAATTGAATCAGGACCCAGCCAGAGAAGCAGAATTGCTGATAAAGGATCCAGACTTGGGAGAGAAGATCAGGCTGTGTGTCAGGGTCTGAACTAGACAGTGGGTCGCAGGGAAGAGTTCCAGCTCAACTGGGGACCTGGAATGCATAGCAGGAGTTAGGAGAAACCAGAGTCACAGTAGATTAGGTATACATCATGGAGGGATTGAGGAAAAGTCTGGTGGACACCTGAGTGCCCATGGGGAAGGGAGGTGTCTCACGTCAGTCACGAAAAACCTAGATTTAATGCAGGAGATTCATTCTAGACCCATTTCCCCTACATGAAGAGACTTTTCATTAAGCTTAGTTCTTACTCATGGAGTCCACAGGCTTTCTAACTGATTGGGACTGGAACAGTAGGAGTTGATTCAAAACAGGAAATAAAGGAATATTGCTTATAAGGATATAAAAATCCACCACAGCCTTTATCCTCTTCATTGTATTCGGTATTGCAGAGGACACTGGTCTGAAATGAACTGAATCCTTAGGGTGCAAGGGTATGATCGAAAGTTATCATATCAGCCAGATTGGCGTTCATAAATGAAGGCAACAACATTTCTCAGATTTGCAAACTCTCAGAAAATTGACCACCCAGGCTATTTGGTAGCCATTATCCTGAGTGACTTAATGTTTGCAACTCATTTCAACCTCACCCCACACTATAGAGTGGGTTACATTATCTATATTTTACAAAACAGGAAAGTGTTGCAGAGTGTTTAAGTAGCTTGTCCAAAGTCACAACTAAGTACAGAGTCAGAATTCAAACACAGGCATTCTTGAACGGATAAAGGGCTCAAAAGCTCCATCTGTTCTTGAACCCTAAGCTCAAGTATTCCTAACTCTGCAAAGCCTTCCCTGACCACCCCTTCCAGAGCTGAAGTATTCTGCTCTTATGCCCTGTCCACTAATGCACTAGACTTTGAGTTTGATGACTAAGCTGTTTTATTATCTTCCACTGAAACTGCCATCATCCAAGTCAAAATGTATAGAGGGAAGTCCTCTTCTGCACTGTATCTTGGGGTTAGGAAGAACTAACTAGTTTGTAGATGGACATAGTTAAAGACGCTGCTTCAAAAAAGAAACCATTTATGCAACAAACTTTTTAAAGCACCTACAAGGTGATCCTGCTTGAACAATTTGCTGATAAAGAAGCGGACATATATTTATCTCATTCTTAAAAGGCCAGCAGTTGATAGCTATTGTGAACTAGTAAGTTCCTTAAATGTTCCAGAGAATTGGCTGAATGTATGCTATAGTTAAATAGCATAAAGGATGTGAAATGAGCCTCAGATTCGGTTTCCATTTTGAGACAACCCCAATACATGATGTTTAAATTTAAAAGAGAGGGGTGCCTGGGTGCCTCAGATGGTTAAGCGTTTGCCTTCGGCTCAGGTCATGATCCCAGGGTTCTGGGATCGAGCCCCGCATCAGGTTCCCTGCTCAGCGGGAAGCCTGCTTCTCCCTCTCTCTCTCCCACTCTCCCTGCTTGTGTTCCCTCTCTCGCTGTGTCTCTGTCAAATAAATAAAATCTTTAAAAATAAATAAATAAATAAATTTAGAAGAGAGAAAATATATTTTTGTTCCTAATGTACATATTTTTTTCTGGTTTGCCATTTCACTTCATTGAGTTATGTACACATACCTTTTATGCGTGTCTAGAAGGGGATGGAAATAAAAATGACAAGGACCCAGTACTGCCTTCCAGGAAGCTCACCTGAGTATAATGGGTAGAGACAGATGTTTGCACAATTTATAATACAAAAAAAATTTTAAGTGTTGCTGGAGAAATAGGACTAATTCTGTCTACTAAAGAGTGGAAGACCTTCAGCATGAGTAGATTATAAAAGTTGAGAGATCTTATTTTCTGTAAGTGTACTTGAACATACAGTAACTAAATGCTGTGTTACTTTAAGATTATTTGTTTGGGAAATCTTGCACTCCACAATTCGTAAGATGAACAAACACGTTCTCAAAATCCAGAAAGAGCTGGAAGAAGCGAAAGAAAAACTTGCAAGGCAACACAAACGGGTAAGTCTAAATGTCGATTCATAAATGGTCAAAGAAACTATGCCAGAAACTCTTAAAAATATTCAAAGTTCGGAGCGCCTGGGTGGCTCAGTCAGTTAAGCCGCTGCCTTCGGCTCAGGTCATGATCCCGGGGTCCTGGGATCGAGCCCCGCATCGGGCTCCCTGTTCAGCAGGAAGCCTGCTTCTCCCTCTCCCTCTGCCTGCCTCTCTGCCTACTTGTTCTCTCTCTGTCAAATAAATGAATAAAATCTTAAAAAAAAAAAAATTAAAAAAAAAAAATATTCAAAGTTCATTACCTTGATAGGAACTTCTTTTTTCTGAGGCCAAATTATGCAGACTGTTGTAGAAGTAGAGGGAGAGGAAGGACCTGGGGGTTGTTGCTCCCTGCTCCTACACTGTGTGATGAACCTGGAAAGAAGCCACAAACCTGGCTTTTCCATAGTTCCCTCTGGATCCATGTCATGTTTGCCCTTCCCAAAAGGGAAAGCAGAGAAAGAAAGAGGACACTTGTATTTCTCAGGGAGAACACTGTGTACCACTTCCCCCCTACTGTGGGGAGGGATGGGCAGTCCTTCCCCGGTTTACAGAATACTTGTCCTATCACTGAGTATGGTTAGCCATTTTGGGGGGAAGCAGTGAGCTGCATTCCACAATTTTACATAATAGTACTCCTAGTATTCTTCATGACAGGATTTTCCAGTGTTGTGCATATTTGCCAGAGTAGGTGGAAACAAATTTAATGACTTACATGAACCTATAGAAGGTTCAAGTGCTAGTCTCCATATAGAGATACATACATACATACATGTGGTGTATAAACACACATTCACAAACTAAAATAACTGCAAGGTAAATGATGTCATCCTCATTTTATACATGTCCAAATTGAGGCTCAGAGAACTTAAGTAACTTGCTCAAGCTTACATGGTTGGTAAGTGACAGAGCTTAGGATCTGACCCAGGCCTGTCAAATTCCAGGGACTTTCCTTCATGCCACACTGTTCTCTAGATAGGTGGTGTCCAACACAGTAACTTGCTAGCCACATATAACTGTAAGTGAATTAAAATGAAATACAATTTAGAATTCAGTTCTTTAGTCACACCAGTCCCATTTCAAGTGCTCAGCAGTCCTGTATGGCTAGTGGCTACCGTGATGGGCAGCACAGAGTGACATAACATTTCCCTCATCACAGAAGGGTCTACCGGGCAGTAGTATTTAGAACCTAGCCTTAGTGTGCTATTAGGGAAAAACCAGCTAGATGATCTACCCAGTTGCCTCCAACAGAATAAGGCAGACCCCATAACAGGTGCTACGTTATAGATAAAAGCAGAATTCTGTAAAAACAGAGAGAGGGTTCTGATAATTTTGCATAAAGGGTAGAAGGTGGCCATCACAGATGGGGCCTCAACAACAGTGTGTTATCTTAGCCAAAAGGCTCCTGAGAATCTAACCCTGTACTTCCCTAAGCAGTGGTTCGGTGTTCACCAATTCAGGGTTCACAGCAAATGCATAAACATAATGATGGTGAATAACAAGAATCTACTGTACATTTTCCATGGAGCTCAAAGCTGTTTTCATTTTGAATGGAGGAAAAATGTGACACACACTTCTCCTCCCTGAACGGACTGTCTCGTAAAAGGTGTAACTCACTTCTGCTGGGAATGCAGACATCCCCACGCGCTGTTACCCAAGACGGGTGCCGCAACGTTTCCCTGGCCTGGACAAGTGCCCACAGGACTGGTGGGGGTATGTGTGCATGGAGGGTGGCGGAGTACTTGCACCTTAGAATACAAGTCTGCAAGTGGCATTTGACCAGACACAAGAACATCCTTCCCCTCACTTGATGGGGTTTAGTACGCTGGAATTCTAATGGCATTTTCCTTTTGTTCCTGTGCATCCTGCAGCGAAGTGACGATGATGACAGAAGCAGTGACAGGAAAGATGGGGCTCTGGAGGAGCAAATAGAGAGACTGCAAGAAAAAGTAGAATCTGCTCAGAGTGAACAGAAGAACCTCTTCCTTGTCATATTCCAGGTATCTTGGCTTGGGACACTGATAGGTTAAAAAAAAAAAAAAGTTAGAAAAATGTGATTTTTAATCATAATACATAATCATTTATAAAAGTTTAAAATACAAAAATTTACAAAGGAAGTAAAAGTTTACTGCTTGAAGGTAACCATGTCTGTGGTGTTTACTTAGCGTTCTTACAGGACCATTGCTCCAGGCTCTAACAGAATGTGTGAGGATACTTTTAAGTACCTCTCATTTAGTTACTCCCAATTGTTGATCATTTATTTTCCCTTCTGATGAAGTAGATGATCAGTTTATACATGCATTTCTGATTAGGTCCTTAAAAATAGATGCTGAGAAAAATGACAAGCACAGCAATCTAGATATTAAAGGTGTTCACGTATTGCAAAAAGGGTGTACTGACATTGGCACCGGCCTGCCTTTCTAGACGGACAGTATTTACTAACTTAGGAAGGTTGGTAATACGTACCACAAAGACCAAGTGGAACAGGAATGCCTTTGAGGTCTCTTGGTCGAAAATGTGATTTTTTTCTGAAGTGTAAGAATCCTCCCTGTAACACTGCTTTAACTTTGCACCCCCTTTCCAGCGTTTCATCATGATCTTGACCGAGCACTTAGTACGATGTGAGACTGATGGGACCAGCGTATTAACCCCATGGTATAAGAACTGTATAGAGAGGCTCCAGCAGATCTTCTTACAGGTTTGTGGGAAACTGATTAGATAATAAACATCACTATTCTCAGGCACAAGGATTTTGCATTTTAAAGAACGGTCCGATTTGTCAGGAGGTTGTGTAGTACCTCTAAGGCCCTTTTAATGTCCATTTGCTCCTACTGTGGCTCATCAGAGTATTTAGGCTTAAATGACTCCTCTACCATCCAGATTCCTAATTGCTGTTCGCTAGGCCTACAGGGGTCTCAGTATGTGCAAGTCATATAGGCACACACAGAAGAGATTTGCATTTTCTGGCACTTTTCCCCTCCACATAGCCTGAACAAGTCGGATTTTCAGTGAGACAGATGAGCTATTTATTTTTAACAGACAAAATGAAGTTTGGGTTTCTTATTTTATAGAGTAGTTACTAGAGAATTAGCCAGTCATCTGTTATCTTTTTGTAAAAGAAAAAAATTTTAAATGCTCTAACCAGTAAAACAAAAAAAGGAAATTAGTGCGAAGTATCTTTTCTCATGTTTCAGCAACCATAGTTTTCATCCGCTTTCCCGGGTGGTTTTTAATCTTGGGCCAGTCCCTGTCTGGGCTACCTTTGTCCTTCTCCGTAGGGACCCAGCTGCCCCGCCTGTGGCCGCCACTGCTCTGAAGCATGAATTACGCTTACGTTCAAATCTCGTTCTGGCCATGAACATCCTACCTGCTTTTTTTTATTTCCAACTATATTTTCTTAACGGTGGGGCTTTTCAGGAGCCCATTCTTCCTCTCGAGCATAACCACTTTTTTCCTCCTACCCTTTCCCATCATTCCACAACGTGGGCAGGCTGCTGAGGGAAGTGTTCTGCAAGATTGCTCAAGTGGTCTTTTTCCTGACCTAAACATCCCCTTTTCTGTGTCCACAGCATCACCAAATAATCCAGCAGTACATGGTGACCCTGGAGAACCTGCTCTTCACTGCTGAGTTAGACCCTCATATCCTGGCTGTGTTCCAGCAGTTCTGTGCCCTACAGGCCTGAGGGTCCTTTTATTCCCCCGTCAAGATTTTTTAAAAATATCTCAAAATAATTTGTCTTATTTTTTTGATGGTTTGAATGCTTGCTTTCTTGTAGCATCCTTTCACTTATTAAAGGGGGAGGGGGAGGAGGACAGTGAAGAATAAAGCATTGATTACCTTTAATTGCCCGTACAAAGCAAAAATTCCCAACTGACAATGTGACGATGACCATAGGATGTATTATATATGTGACAGATACAACTTTTCTGGTATTTTTTCCTCCTTAAGGCACAAAAGATAAGTGATTTGAGGTATGTGAACACTAGAGGTCCAGCTTACAAAGTAGTATATAGAACTGGTGGATTTACTTATCAAGTAGCATAGCTTCTCACAGCTCATGGATAAGCTAATATGGCTGAAATAAAACTAAAAATGTTTTTTAAACTTTGGTATTTCATGATTTATGATCTCAGTCTACTTGAAAATCAGTGGTTTCCTATTGAACATCTACTTCCCTCATTTGGAATTCTCTCTCCACAAGTATCTTAATATTTTAAGACCTTACTTATTAAGAAATGTTATTCAGAGTAGCACTACCCAAATTCTTTACAGTTATATTCTAAATTAAACCACAATCTCTGGGGGTGAAACAGAGCCAGCCAGCGTTCTGAAGTCTCCCCCAGGGCTGTCCATTGTGTGGCAGCTATGGGAACCGTGACCTGAGAGCCATCTGGTCACCTCCTCTAGTCTCGGAGACAGATGTGTCCAAGGTCCACTAGTGAGGTACGTGCTAAAGTGGAAACAGAAGTAGCTAGATTGGCTAAAACTGTACTTGGATTTATATATAGGTTTGGGTTTTGTTTCTACAGAACTTGGTCCAAGTAATTACTAATTCTTGAGCCTGTTTCCTATACAGTATTAAAGCTTAACTGAGAGAGATAAGCGTGCACATAAAATAAGCATAAGGGATTATCTGACATTGCACGTTGCAAGCATTTTAGGGCTTCACTAAACCTTGGGAAAAATTTATCAACAACCCCACAACTGGTAAGTAGTATTCCTGTGCCTTTGTACAGCATAGATATTTTTAACTTATTAACATAAATTTAGGATGCATTAGTATTTTTCATATTGTTACCCAGTCTCTTTTGTTTGCCCCGCATTCAGGGGCTACAGAATATAGTCTACTCAAGAGATAGGAGTTCCTAGAATTTTTAAATACCATTTAAAACAAGAAATAATTATTCACAGAATTAATCTCCCTTCCAGGAATAATTCAGGCAGTGGTTCATATGAAAATAAGTTTGCTTGCTCTTCCTGGAAAGTAGTAGTTTGTTGTATAATTTACTAATCTGTAGTTATACCTGAAAATGAGGAAAGAACTTGCCAACCTGCGTAGAATACATTGGGCCGTCAGTGTTCTCTGGATACTGGGATCATCCTCAAGTGATGAAAGAGTGAATAGAAGCGTACGTGAAACTAGACAAATCTAGAACTATACTGTCCTGATGAGAATACGTGCTCATGAACAAGTGGCTAGTCTGTGCCACATGCCACAGATTCACCCTATTTAATCTTCCCAACCATCCTCTGAGAGATGATTGTGCCCACCCAGCAGATAAAAAGAGGCCCATGGAGTAACCCACCCAAGGCCCACAGCTAGAAAGTGGAATTTGAACCTAGGTCCATGGGGCGCAACGGCTCTTTATTACCGTTGTCAGCTGCCTAGACCCCTCGTTATTCTGTTGACATCAAGCTGGAAGCTCTTCTGTGGTCCCAGGAAGGTCTTGCTACCCATTCTGAATAAATTTTTACTAAATCAATAATTAGCATGGCACGTTAAAAAAAAAATCAACACTTATTTCTATGTTGAATTCTTAGAGAACAATTAGTAATTACAGTCTCAAGTCTATTTGAGTTGGACTAGTTTGGACCTGCCTTTCTTCAAGCATAATCTCCAGGAGAGCTGATCTACAAGGAAGATGAAAACATATAAACTTCCTACTTACAGCAACTGGACTAAAAAAGCCATGTCAAAGAACAACTTGAAAATATCCAGTTTATCTTTACTTGAACAGGTTAAAAAAAAAAAAAAAGTCATGCACAGACCCTGTAGTCAAGCACAAATCCTTGTGATCTTTTTGGCAAGACGGGCAAAACTGACTAGCTAAACTTGATCCACATGCCTGGGGTGATGTCGGGCTGTAGGTTATAACTTCCTTTAAAAGTGCTAAGTAAACACAAGATCTCCTCCCTCCCAGGATTAAATGAGAATACCTGTAAGCCATTTCGCATCACACCTACCTGGTTCACGGTAAGTGCTCTATAAAATGTTAACAAGTTAGGATAAACTTAGTACCTTTTTTGATCAATAAGACAATATGGCTGTTTTTCCATTTTAATCCATATTTGAAAAGGGCTATCTAGACACGGACCTTAGGGCCTATGGTAGTAAACTGTAAGGATACAGAAAACATGATCAGACTGCCACGATTCAATTACTGCTGTCCAGTCAGGCCTTGGCCAACAACAGCTCCCCACTCCCTCACATGGAGACAGCATCTAGAAGACCTGGCTAGCCTCCAGGGCGCAGGGTCTACCACTGTCCCTTGTTTCCTGGGAGAAGAATCTGCTTCAGTTGCTTCTGCCCTTACTAAAAGCTCTTCCTCCTATTCCAATCTAGGGTTTGGTTTGGTTTATTTCTCAGTTTTAGCTCTAATCTACCTTTTGAACCTATTCCACCCCTCGCTCCCATCCCTATTGTAGAGAAAAGCAATCCCAGACCCAGTATTTTGCCCACAACCAGACCTGCTGGACTCTAACTGAAACTTGCTCTTAAGTTGTAACATACACATTTCTATTTAGCATTATTTACACGAGTGTTCATTCATCTGTGAATACTTTACACTTAACTAGTCACATCTTCTCATATGTCAGCTCATGGCCACACACAGTACAAGTCTTCCGATACATGTCATCCTCTAGGTTTTCTTCTGGTCCATACTCATGTTGATGAGCAACTGTTTCCCTTCTCCACACGCTGCTTCTTACTGCTCGCCGTAATTCTAAGAAAATAAGGAAAAGCCAGTCTTTCAGTGATGCTATTCAGCTGAATCCCAAAATCCATCAAGCTTGTGTGTGTGTAAACCAAATATGGTTTACATTAATTTTATAACAAATCAAAATTGATTCTAGAACCTTGGCCAGCTTGGCCTGTAAAATTACTCATTGTTGGAGCCGCGTGAAATGGGATATACGGAAATGGGGTAAGTGGGTTAAGAGGGACAGTAAAACAAAATTCAGAAGATGAGTAAAGGGGATTTTAAAAAATGGGATTTGTTCAAGCAGCTAAGAAAAATGGTGCTGCAGCAGGAGAGGGGAGTCAGCCAGGATAACTCAGGACAAGATGCATTTCAAAGTTCTGCGCGTTAGGGGCCACTTCTGTAAGAGGCAGGCCAAGCTTTGCTTGCAAGAGAACTAGAAAGCCAAGAAGTCTGCTACTATGCTGGGGTTTCATCTTAGAGAAACTGCTTGAAGTCTGTTCAGTTCCTTATCTTATAAAATGAGAGCAATATTTTAGGAGAGGGATTGCCAATTATTGCAAAGTACAATCTAAATATAAGAATCAAAGGCAATTAAGAGCTGGAAAGAACCACAGTTTTTATTTTACTACTTTATTTTGCAGGTAGGAAAATGGAACAAAAATAGCATGTGACTGCAGGTCAGTTATTCCAGAGTTTAGAATTTTTTCCACTGTATCATGTTAAAATGTTATTTAAAAAAAAAAAACTCTTGGATGCTTTGAAAAGCAACTAAGCCAATCACATTTTAAAAGTTCACACTGCAGTACCTGAAGAAACCAAATGCTTAGTGTTAACTGGAAATTAACAAGCTAATAACTTCTCCGTTTCCAGTTTAATGAATAAAAAGCAACACTAATTTTTTTATTCTGACCAGTGATCCATCAAGCCCAGCTCTGAGAGCACGCTACCTAAGGAAGAGTACGTTACATAATCTCACCTATAAAAATCACTGTACACCAAGTGATCACACATTTTCTTTAATCCTCTTTAGATTTGTAAGTAGTATCAAAATACTTGAATCTTTGTATTTCAGCCTTTATTGTATCTTAGGGATAAGCAGATGTAGCGCTATGTATCAGGCACTGTTCTAAGCACTTTATAAACACATTTAATCCTCACAACCCTTTGAGATTAAGTACAACTACCATCCCACTTTTTTTTTAAGGTTTTTTTTTTTTTTTAAGGTTTTATTTATTTGACAGAAAGATAGCGAGAGCAGGAACATAAGCAGGGGGAGAAGGAGAGGGAGAAGCAGGCTTCCCGCGGAGCAGGGAGCCCGATGTGGGGCTCCTGAGCCGAATGCAGACGCTTCACGACTGAGCCACCCAGGCACCCCTACCATCCCACTTTTACCAGATGAGAAAACCCAAAGAAGTTACATACGTTGTGCCTAAGATAAAACCGCTAGTTGATGCCAACAGCGTGGTCTAGCTCAGGTTCCTGTTAACCACAAAGGCTGTGCTGCCTTTTCCCACCTCCAGTATGAGAAGTACTGGGTCTCAGACCACTATATTCAGGCTTCAATGCATGCACCTCTAGACAGTTTCCAAACTAGGGGGGAAAATCGTGTCCATCCAAACAATCTTTATTCCTATATTCGTCACATTCTGAAGGCAGCAATTTTTTCTAGACATACCTGGAATATCCTACCCTTTATTTTACCTTAGGGTATTTTCTAAATAAAAAATGAAATTATGTGCTGACTGGCACAGATGCCTCATGGTTTCAGTCAATGACAAGAAGAGGTCTCCTGTTTGAGTTCCAATACCTCCCTTCCAAATTTGTTCTGATATAAAGTACCCTAGCCACTTTTCCTTTACTACTCCACTGAGAAAATGCTCTCAAAATCTGACTGCATCCCGGTCAATGCTAAGGTAACCTCTAACTTGAGCATTACGTGAACTCAGGAAGAGAGAGAAGAAAACTTACTTAACGCTAGAATACTGACAACAAAATCTAGTTTACTAGCCATAATTGAATATAAGGTTTTTACTGACTTTATGGCTTTTTCTTCCCAACCTTCAGCTAGTTTATCAAGAATAATGACAAAGCCATATCTTTTAGTATTTACTAGACACTCCTGGAAAAACTTGTGCTAGAAAATAAGGAAGTACTAAAATACTGGTATGTTTTATCATTTTCTTGCCTTCTTTTCCTTCCTGAACAATCTAGTCCTAAAGCCAGTAAGTGGAGCAAGTAAAGCAGGCATCTGTGGTAGGGTAGAGGGAGCCCCAGAAAAGTAAGGAGGATCTCCCTGTGGTGCAGGCTGCTAGCAACAGTGATGGGAAATTACATACAGAGGCATCAAATAACTACATTAAGGATAATGCGAATCAGATTTCTCACTGTCAGAGAAGGGAGTTACAAACAAGGAAAGAAAACAAGAATGAACCCTAAAATCCTGGATTAGAATTGGGTATGAGTGTGAACTCAAGGTATTAATTTATAACATATGGGGCAGACATAAAAATACAGATATATACATGTTATTGTGCTAAAAAGCAGAAGTCCTCAACAATGAAGACATGGCAAAAGGACAGAGGAGCTAGCTTAAAGAAGATTCCTCTTAGCCCAAATCTCAGACAATTTGAACACCAAAATAAGGACAGAAATGAACAAAAGCCATGGAGAACAGGAATTCATGAATCCGTACCAATAATAAATGGCAGAAAGGATGCTGCAGAATGCAGACTTCTAACTGGCTAAACATGGAGAGAGCACTTAAAAAAACCATTTTTTCAAAAAGTATACTAAAGACTGGTTCAGGCAAGAACCATCTGTGACTGAGTGCTAAATCTCAGGGGAAGTGTTTAGGAGAAACAGGATATTTGGTTGGCTGTAACTTTTTTTTTTTTTGCCTATGAAATAAAAAGTTTTAACATCATCACTGAAGGCAGACAGACGTAGATCTCCAGATATGATGCCCTAAGAAATAGGTCATTTATGTACCATCTCCAGCCTGAAATGCGTAACATGAATCTAACCATTGGGAAGCCTCTGAAAAGCCCCAAATGAAAAACATTTCTAAAAAAAAGCAAGATGGGGAAGGGAACAGACTTCTTCAAAAATGTCAATGTCAAAAGAGAGAGAAGCTCTGGAAATATTCCAGAATAAAGAAATTTAGAAGAACTTGGTACTTCGAGCTAATGCCTGATCCTAGACTGGATCCCGAGCTATAATGAAAAACCACACAGGACATTACTGGGCAAACTAACAGAACTAGACTCTGGGTGACAGAGGAGATAAAAATCTCACGACTACACTCTGGTCCTGCACAAGGAGACTGCTGTTCGCGGGAAGCATGTGCTGCAGCGCTGGGGACAGTGACGTGTGCAACCTCCTCTCCAACGGCTCGAGCAAGTGTCGCGTGCAGAATACAAATGGCTAACAGATCACTCTGGAGAAAGGATACAACCCCTGTCTCCTTTATACTAATCTTTGCAATCTTCTGGAACTTTCTGAACTGATTTCCAAATTAAAACTTTCAAAGTCAGGAGTTTGCTTGAAGGGGCCAAATTAGAGACCATTTGAGCCTCAAAATGAGTAAGAGGAATGGACTATAACACTGATTTGAGAAGAATCCATGAATCCAACTAATACTAAAAAAAATTCTTCTTCCCAAAGGAAGCCAAATAATTATAGAAATAACAGAAATAGAAAATCACCACTTATATCCAGCCTAGTAACAACAGATTGGGGCAAGAATCATGCCATGTGCTAAAACCCAGGAGTGAGACTTAAGGAAGGAGATGCTCACACAGTACCCGAGTCCAGCCCACAGATTTCCTCCTAATTACAAAGGGGAAAGCGCACCTGAACAATGGGCAAATCTCGCAGACACTGCCCCAAGCACGCTAGCAAACGGAGGATCCCTTTCTTAGCTGACAGCATGTGTCTCCTAACGTGACACACGCGGACACATCACCAGGGAAGGACTCCTACCAAAATGCCCACTATCTAATTGTGCGAAAATAAGCTGCTAATAAACCTAAATGAGGACATTCTGCAAAACAGGTGGCAGTCTCCAAAAATGTCAATAGTCCCAAAAACAAAACAAAACCAGCTGAGGACCTAAAAGAGTACAGATATGCATCAACCTTGATTGGCCCTTGGATCCAACAACTTTTTAGTTGTGAAGGACATCAGAACGACTGAATGTCTAAGACATACTAGACAACATTATATTATTAACTTTACTGAGTATGACACTGTTTTTCCAGTTACACAGAATGTCACTGTTTACAGGAGATAACATCCTGAAATATTAAGAATCACAATGTCCTCAAGCAGCTCTTAAATGGGTCAACAAAGCGTGTGTGTGTGTGTGTGTGTGTGTGTGTGTGTATGTGTGTGTGTGTGTGAACAAATGTGGCAAAATGTCAACATCTGGTGAAATAAAAATTTTTTAAATAAAGATTAATACATCTTTTACATTACTTCATTTAAGCAACTTAAAACTTTGGAAAGTAGAGGTCACCACCTACTGCTGAGTGAGAAGAGGAAGGCAGACAGGGCAGAGCCTTGAAGGGCGGCAGCACCTCACCGCTAGCCCTGGGGACAGGAGGAGGGGTCGCGCCCAGCAGCGCCGAAAGCCTAGCTGAGCTGGAGAACAAAGCAGCAGGTTACCGGCTTATAGCCTCCTAGTCCTACGGACCTAGAATTTCACAGCACAGAAAGCTGTGGACTGCCTCTCTGGAAATTTATAAAAATGTTCACGGTAACCAGTCTTGCTATGGATATCTTCAGATAGATACTCTTTTTACCCAAAGAAGTCTTCCCTTAAATCCTTGTTTCAATGAAAAATTTAGTTTATGCCACTCTGAAACTTGTATTTTATTTGCCTGATATCCTGCTTTTGTAAAAGAGACAGCTTGTATTCAAAGAAGCCCAATGCTGTTTAGGAGGTAAACTCAGGAGAACTAGCTGAGGGAGACAAAATATTTCTAAATACTTGATGGGAAGGACAGGAAGTTGCATAGGGGGCTCCTTGTTAACTAGAGGAAAAGTCACAAGGAAATATCAACATGAAGCTTTGATCTTATCTTGTCCTCCAAACACCGAAGCAGAGGAACATGGAATTGTGTCCTTCAAACTCTTGAGAGAAGCCCGAAAACAGTCATAAATAGAACCACAGGCCAGAATGTAAAATGTCCGCACACTCAGTAGGAGCCCCAACGTGGGCTTTTCTTACCCACCTCTTTTGAGGGGAAGAGTACATAGTAACAAACAATGAAGAATAATTCTCCATTTTTTAGAAGGCTTACCTCTGTCAGTACTAAGTAAGAGAACACAGAGTATAACTTGAAAGAAAAGCCTCATCTCCACCTTATTTGTGGAGAGGCATGCAAGCCCAAAACGTTCTGTGTATTTGCACCAGATGAGAGTTCTCATCCAGTATCAGAGGTGACACGTAGTGCATTTGTTGAAATCCAGTTAAACTGAGCAGCAGTGATGCCCTCGTTTCTACTGCTGCGTGCTTGCATCTAAGAGATCTAGAACAATTTGAATTTGCTGATAATTCTTGTCTTTTACTTTGCCTGTATTTATAAATACCTTATACTATTTATACTTAAATTTCTTTGTAGTAAAACCAGTTCTTTCTCAAACTGCTAAGCAGATCACATTCTCAAAGCAGGTAAATGTAATCTCTTACCTTTCCATAAAGAAGTAAGCTTTGTGTCAGCTTCTCTGTGGATCAAAATCAGAAGACCAAGAGGAACCAGGTTCCAATTTCTCTTCAACTAAACTTTTAGACTTGCTTTTATTCCTCTCTGTTCTGAGCAAACTGCACGGTAAGCTCCTTGTTTCTAATCTCTATAGTGTCTACTCCACTCTCAGCCCTTTGTGGCCTAGTCAGGAGAACTGGAACATGTTCACCGACCTCTAAAGTAAACCAACGAGAAGGAGCCATAATTAAACAGGGTACCACACCGACCTCTGCACAGGAAAACACCAGAAGACAATGGAGTAATGCTTTCATAACTAAGAGTGTGCTCAGGTTTTCATATGCAAGGGAAACTGGAAAACACTCAGATTTGGAGAGACTAGGAAAACATACCACTCGGAAAAATTTCCTCAAAAAGACATGCTTCATCCCAACAAGAATGGAACTGAATTAAAGAAACCAATCTTAAGGGCCCATGAAAAAATTCAGGGCAAATTCAAACTCTTCAACGAAGAAGGAAATCCATAGTTTATCTGGTGATTAACAGCAGCAATTTAATACAGTGAAAAAAAAGCCAATTATATTTGAGTTTATGTTTCTTTAAAACAATACCCATAAAAATTATATAAATCTTAGAAGAACTGTTCTATGCATACTAATATTTGATCAAATTTTTATAATTTGATTTTTATAGAAAAAAAGTATAAAAGAGATGCTATAATCTTTTACTGTTAGTCAAATCATAGGAACTTAGCCACATTTAGATGACATCTTGACCAAACTACAGAGATAGTATCTAAATAAAAATTACAGACAGCCCCCCCTTTTTAAAGTATTTTATCACTTGCAGGTCTAAGTTTCTAATTCCTTTATCCATATACTATAGTCTACACCAAAATACCATCAGAAAAGTGGCTTCGAGGGGCAGCAGAGAGGGAAGAGTGGAGGCGATTCAGGTAGCTGAAGTTACCAACAAGCCCAGGCTGGTCTGTAATGAGTCTGTAACTCTGCCTTCCTCTCTCAGGCCCAGTAAGAAGCTTCTGTTACTTTCCCCCTCCAGGCTCTCCTCGATGCTGGAAGAAGGAAGGGCTGGGGTAAAATGTGAGGTGGAACACAATCTAATAAAAGATTAAAGGAAAGGACCAAATTGAAAGAAGTCTTTCCAAAGCCTCTCAGTTGGTCCTTGCTGGTGTTTTCAGCGACCTGGTACAGCAGCGGCTCATGTGGGGAAGATTCTTCAGTGAAATGCTTCTACACGGCAGTTTGCCACAGGAAATCTAACCAAGCCAGAGAAGTGTGCTTACCCCCCGATCCAGGAGCTGATCTCTTAAGTCACTATAATTTATATAAAGACATATATAAGGATGTTTATCATGAGGGTTTTTTTTTTATCATGAGGTTTTGATAAACTTCGTAAGTGTCCAACAGTGCTTCTATTTTTATAAGAAATATTTGTAAGAGTCTGTGTGTAGAAAAGAACTAGAAAAACAGACATTAAAATGTCACTATTGATGGTCTCTGGGCGGGAGACTACTACAAGTTCTTTGCAGTTTCCCAACTTTTCTGCACTTCACACAAATCAATCTTGTACTGAGAAGAGGGAAAAAAGATCCTCCCAAGAAGAAACAAGGCAGGCTTACACTCAATTTTTGTTCCTGCTGTATTATTTAACACATCTGAGCTATCTTCCAAAACCTCTTCTAAATGCTAAACACAAAAGCAAATTTATTTATTATGGCTAAGACACTCATTTTAAATGGATGTATACAAACCCCGTGAACACATAAAACACATGCTATCCGGATGTGCCACACACCACACCAGGACTCTACACCTGCTGCCGGAAGCACATCTATGCCCGCCGTGCAGGACTCTCCAGGGAGTCAGTGGTCCCACCGAGTCAGAGTGCTCCCACTGCTCCGACAGCAGCCCACGCTCACCATCACGGTACCGACCACACTCCAACAGGAGCCGGACCAGCTCTGACTCCAGCAGGACACTAGCACAGTGCCTGGTGACGCTGCTGGATGCGCTGATGGACTTACGCACAGATGGACACACAGACACACACGGACAAAGGAATGGATAGACAGATGTATGGACAGAGGAATGAATGTACCGATGCAGACTTTCGGTTAGGAAAGCCTGCTTCCGGTCCCACCTCGCTAATGACTACTGATGTAACAAGTCACTCTACCTTTCTAGGTCTTTTATCCACATAGAAGGAAAATGATTCGACTTGCTGACATGAGAAGGCTCCTTCTAGCTACTAAATTAGAGGACTAACACTTAGGCATGATTTTTTCATTTTAAGCAATTAGAGAGGTTTGCTGGTGGATATCCTTTTTATAACCCTGTTAGTCATATTTAAGACTGAACTGATGCCAAATCCTTCACCGAGGATATATCCCTGATCTACCACTGTTCCTATATAAACACATAGTTCACTTTAAGAGGAGGATTTCCACACTTTTTAGAACTGCCGTACTCTGAGGTTTGCACCGAGCGCCTCAAACACCAACCTACAGAGGGCAGACTTTCAGTCTTGTTTCAATCTATGAAAAAACATTCCAATCTACTGGTGACAGATCTTTAAACAAGAACAACTTACCTAAAGTCTTTTTGGAAGTCAATAAAATACAGTCCTTCATGAGATCAATGTAGCCACTTTTTTTTTTTTTTTAAGATTTTATTTTTAAGTACTCTCTACACCCAATGTGGGGCTTGGACTCACAACCCCGAGATCAAGAGTCTTACGCTCTACCCACGGAACCAGCCAGGCACCGCTTCACTTACCTTTTACTTTCTTATCAAACTTCTTCTGTTTCATTTTCTCTCGGTTTTCCTGTCGAGCTTCCTTTGCTTCTTCTAATGCTTCCTGACTACCCCAAACTTCAAGAGACCTCTTCACAATCTACAACACAGAATCCAGATTTAAGTTAAGTATTATAAAGTCATAATGATTAAATCCATGGACACCAAAACATGATCTCACTCAAGGGCAATTTTATAAGTATTTGAAATTTTGAAGAGATTTTAAATAGTGCTAAGAAACAACTCTAATAACACCTCTATTTAAGCCTATGGAACCTCAGCCTAAATGTAGGCTTGATTAGTTAGACTGTAAGTACAAAAGCTGTCCTCTGACTGTAATTGTTTCTCTGCGACATTGTTTTCACACGAATCCACCAAAGTACCAGTAGTCAGTGGGTCTGATAAGTTTTGTCACGCTCGCCAAAATAATCTGCAGACCAATTAGCAACAGTCCGTCTGAATATGAGGTCATCTCCAAAAACCTCTCACCACAGAGAATCAGTCACTACTGCTCTTTTCCTCCTTGGTCTATTACTAACTTCTGATCTTTACAATGTCAATTTTTTTTTTTTTTTAACTGTAGTACCTGAATGACCTAAAGTCTTTATTCTAGTTTAAAAACTTTGCATTATAATATCTTTACTCTTTATAATATTTATTTACATTTAGAAGACTAACAAACACACTAAGAATTATGCTCAGGATCTCTCTCACAATATGTTAAGGGAACCAAAATATCAATCAAGGTAGCCAAACTCAAATTTCTTCCTGACATGATCAAGTGATATCCTGGCATTTCCTAAATTCTCAAACATCACCTTTTCCACACTTTAACACCCCTGAAATGCTGCAGCACCAGCCACCTGCTCACCGATGCTTTAACAGCTGAGTCAAAAAGTGGTTCAGAAGAATTGGACTCTGAATGCAAAGAAGTTTAGGAATACCTTAATAAATCTGTTGTAGTTGCATTTCTTATGTATGTATGCACAAGCATGATATATAGCAAAAAAAAAAACCTAATAAATCTAATGGCACTATTTCAGTAAGTATAAAATAAAAGCTTCAAGTGATAAGAAAGCATTGGGTTGGCGTTTTTCATTTTAATGGTACATAAAATAATGGTGAATCTTCTAATTAATGATGTCTTAGGTTTGATAAAATTCAATAAGTGACTGGCTTTACAATGTAGTTTCTTAATTTTATTTGAAGCTACTAGGATTTTCTAGTATTTTCCAGTCAACCTGCCCTAAACCAATGCCTCTCAACATTTTTTTATATAATGGCACAAAAATAGAACGTATGTACTATTCTAGGATAGATACAGGAGGCTCTGACTCAAGGCACCCACACTAAGTGGGTAACTATCTCTGCACACCACTACAACACGAGAAGTTGAGAAGATCCACTCTGAAACACAGCAGAGTTACATGGACACTTGACACTGTTCCAGATGAGCATTTCCCAAGTGGAGTTAGATTTTAGGCATCTGTGAAATTCCTGAAACTTCCTAGGGTTTTCATTTGGAGGGTGGGCGGGTAGGGAAATGGGGCCCAACTCCTAATCCCAACCTAGTTCCCCAATTGTCCTAGTAACATTACCTGACAGTAACATATCTGCCCCGAAGTGCCACACTGAAAAGTAAACCCAGATGTTATTAAATGTCGTTACATACGACTATGACTCATATACAAAACAACAGAAGGAAAAGGATCTTTTTAGCTCTGTAAGCAAAACTAAACTAATTATACCTAGTTTACAGTTAAAACTTCACCCAACCGAGGACTTAAAATGACCAAGTGTAATGTATCAGAGACCTGTAATTTTAAGTAGAGTTTCATATCACCCCATTGTGAATGATGAGGATTCTTCTTCACAATAAATTTAAGAGCTGGTTCTCTTTTTTCTAAATCACAGTCTTTCAGAAGGTATTCTTGTTTGGCTTCTGTTTTAGTTATGAGCTTGTGTTTATCATCAGCATCTCTGAAAATAAATTAAGTCCAGTACTATGTTAGTTATTTTAAATAAGCTATGTTTTCAAATAGTCCAACAACCCAGGGGCATGCTTGCCAAAACATTATTTTGAAACAGTTTTTCCTGGGGTGCTGGGTGGCTCAGTCAGCTAAGCGTCTGCCTTTGGTTCGGGTCATGACCTTGAGGTCCTAGGATCGAGCCCTGCATCAGGCTCCCTGCTCAGTGGGGAGCCTGCTTCTCTGGCTCCCTCTGCCCCTCCCCACCTACTCAGGTTCTCTCTCACTCACTCTACGTGCTCGCTCTCCCTCAAATTAATAAAAAAATCTTTAAAAAAATAAAATAGCTTTTCCTTCAATTCTCACGGTCAAGTTAGCAGCATAAAAATTCTAAACAGAAAAATACTTTATCTTTTACTTATTTGGAGAAGCTATATTATATTAGCAGCAGATCCAGGTCATTTAATAAGAATTTCTTTCTACTTACTTGAAGTCCCTCTTTGCCACAATGGATTTGAAATGACTAAGAGTACAGCAAATATAAATGAGAAGACTCAATGGGTAAGAAAATATCTCATGGATGGACTATAAGGAATATAAGTATACAAGGTCCAACTACGCCAACACACTTGAGTTTCCAATTGGCTCTGAGCTTATTCAAAGTCAAGGTAAAACTGGAGGTATAGTCAGTCACATAGTTCTCATTTATTTTGTTCTCCATCTACATGCCAGGTATGACTCAAAGTACTAGAAAAACAGCAAAGAAAACAAAGCCTTGTTTTCATGAAGCTCCCATTCTGGTTAGGAGAAGACAATAAGCAAACATAATGACAGATAAAAGTGCTATAAAGAAACACAAAGCATGGTAAAGAACAGAAAGTTTGATAGACTGGGTAATCAAAGAAGGCCACTGATGAGGGGGCATTTGAGCAGGGCCCTTAAAAAGTCAGAGAACATTCTGAACAGCTGGAGAAAGAACATCCTAAGCAGAGAGAACAGCAAGTGCAAAGGCTCTAGGGCAGGAGTGCGCTTCACAACTGGACTCACGGCAAGTGAGCCAGTGGGGACCAGAAGGCTTAAGGAAGGGAAGACGGTGAGGAGGGGCGGGAGATCAAGTCTGAGACATGCGGGAGCCCTCTAAGCAGTGTGGAGACAGTTCTAGTCTACGTGGATTAAAAACCGTTGAAGAGTTCTGACTAAAATGTCTCCGTAGAAGAAGCCAATGGTGCAAAGTTGGGGGCACGGGCCAGTTAGAAGACCACCAGTGCTGGGCTCCAGACAGGTGCTGATGGTGGCCTCGGCTGAGGTAGTGGTGGAGGGGCGAGGGGGCGAAGCAAGGATCTGGAAGGAACACAGATCCAACTGGATTTGGAATTAAACACGGGATAAGGAGAGAAACAGCCAATGAAGTTGGCCTTTACTGAAATGAGGTATAGGTCAGGGAGGGGAGGAGAAACTTAAGATTGGGAATAACTTCATGAAAGCTAAATAACTTAGAAGTTTAAGCTAAAAGAGGGGACAGGTACTCTACTAAAATTAAAATCGAAGATATTGAAAGGAAACAGAATGGAGGGCTGTGTTCCTAATTACTTTAAAAGTATCTTTTTTCCAGACTACTACACAACTTTCTTTAAACTGATACATTAGTTGCTTCCATCTTCTCAGGGAAATAGGATTATATGTGATAATTTAGTTCCCAAAAGCTATCCATCCTTACTTTAAGGAGTGATAATGCTGTGGCTCTTAACCACTGTGTGTCAATGGGAACAGAGTTTATAATTTGTAATTCCAATGGCAGCCACACATTTTTTTTTAAAGATTTTTATTTATTTGACAGAGAGAGCACAAGCAGGGGGCGCAGCAGAGGGAGAAGGAGAAGCAGGCTTCCCGCAGAGCAGGGAGCCCGATGTGGGGCTCGATTCCAGGACCCTGGGATCATGACCTGAGACGAAGGCAGACGCTTAACGACTGAGCCACACAGGTGCCCCGGGAGCCAAACATTTCCAGTCACAGATCTGATCGTGAGACAAGCAGTATCTCCCATTCCCTCTTCTCAGGATTCTACCCAGCAACAAGTCAGTGGGAATGTCTCCCTCCCCTGCAGCAGGGACTCAAAGAAGCCAGGTCCTCCAGGCAGGTGAGCAGTTGATCTAGGGCAGCAGGTCCAAGAAGAAGGACCAGGGACAGAGAAGAGGGCTCAGTAAGAATCCCAGATGGGGTCTTAAGGCATGAAAGACACCAACACAGGACGTGCTGGGGTAAACAGTAGGGAAGGAACGAGGAGGAGTGAGAAGCATCATCCTGGGGTGACAGAAAGAGGCCAGAGGCCAGGAGAGGAAGAAAAAGGACGAGAGAAGAATGTGACTTTTCCTCCTCTCTTCTCTCCCCTTCAGTCCCCTCCTCTCACTGAAGGCCCCAGTCTTCTGACCAAGGTGTCCACATACCCCGGGGTAAGACACAGGGGACCCTCAGGTACCAGGGGGAAGAGAGGGGTTAGGAACTTGCTAATGAGAGAGGGTAAAGACCCACCAGGCCCAGAGAAAGGAGGACAGATCTACAGCTGAACCAGGGCTGTCCTCATCACTGTGATAAGCACAGGCTTCCTGTATTTCTTTGACAAAATGGAAACCACAGAAATTTTAGGAAACAGCTAGAACAAAAATTGTAATTACTAATATTAAATCCACATGGATCTAATTATGGTTTTGCACTAAATCTACATGCAAACAGTAAACTTTAGCAATTGAGAACATCGTCTGAAATAAGTACCTGCAGTTATCACAAGTTGCCAGATCAAAGTGGCTCATAAGGTAAGAATCCATAAATTCTTTACCACACTCTTCACATACTGCATAATCAAATTCCATAACAGGTCCTAAAGAAAGGAAGGTTAATTCTTTAAGTTTACTTTTTTGTGACTTAGAACAATGTATTTTCCCCTATCTTAAGGTTATCAGCATGTACTTTATAATGGACACAAAAACATTTACATCAAAGACAAAACCATGATTAAGTAATCTTCTATTTATCTTAAAAAAAAATTTTAAGGAAAAAACTATCAATTCATCAAGTACGTTTGAACCCAAAACCACGTGTAAGGTGCTTGTATGAGCTCTGTACTGCTGCTGTAACAAATTACCACAAATCTTCAGGCTAAAATAACACAAACTTATTATCTTACAGATCTGCAGTTTGTAAGTCTGACATGGGTCTCAGTGGGCTACAGTCAAGGTGCAGGCAGGGCTGCATTCCTTTCTGGAAGTTTTAGGACACAATCTATTACCTGCCATTTTCAGTCCTGCCTTGATTCAGGCAGGACTCACTTCCTCCAACATCCAAACCGGCAGTAGCAGCTTCTCCCATCACTCTGGCTTCTTCCATAATCACATCTCCCTGTGCCTCTCTCCTGCCTTTTGCTTTTAAGTACCTAGTTACACTGGGCCCACCTGGATAATACAGAATAATCTCCCACACATCTCAAGGTCTTTAACCTTAATCATATCTGCAAAGTCCCTTTTGTTATGTACGGTCATATATCATGGGTTCCATGGTGACTGGAATCTGGACCTCTTTGGGGACCGCTATTCGGCCTACCACCATACTGTTGAGAGTACAAAGGAGGTGAGTCCCAGAGTAGAAGGGAGCAGAGGGGGCTGCTTACAGACAGGGAAGATAGATACTAACACATAACACGGAAAGAGTAGTAAAGTGCAAGCCAACAGCAGAAGAGACAACACAGAATTCACTTTCAAATGGGAAACTTTCTCCCCCTCCACTCCACCCTCCCCACCACCACCACCAACAGAGTAAATACCTCAACAATGAGATTGTAAACTTGAGGGTGAAGATTATATTTAGCTATATATCCTCAACTCCCAGCACAGAAACTACTCTAGGTAGAGTAAAACTCAATTTTTTTGAGGACTTCAAATACCTGGCTAAGGATCTTTATCCTATAGAATTTCTCAGCAAATCTGAAAGTTTGGTTCTCTCAGCAAATCTGAAAAGTTTTACTAGTACGTCTTTAGGATGATTGCTACTGCCAAGCCCCAGCTCCGAGAACTGCCACGACCCCCAGTGGAAAGAAGAAGGGAGTCATCATTTGTCCAGCTGGTTTGACACATTCCTATCACTGCCTTCCCTTACCTACTTCCAACGCAACAAGGTCAGTTCATATTCTACCACCCCTTAATTCCACTATCTCCAAACTCTAACAAAAATATCACTCTTCCTTATAAAATATTAGCGGGACACAGCTACAGACAAAAGGAAAAGTTAAAAATAGAGTCAAAGATCTTCAAAAACTTGATTACTAGAATGGAGAAAAACAGAGGTCTGACATACCAATTAGGAGACTACTGAACAGCATTATTAATCGAAAGCCATAAAATGTGCAGAACATTTTCCTAATTTTAGAAAGTCTTTATGATGGAAAATTTTAAATGTACATGATGATTTTTCTACTCCTTCACTCCCTTTCTATTTACCACGTGAAAATTGGCAGTCTAGTGTAAGCAAGAGCCTTCCCTCCCCGCCATTCATTCACTCATGTACCTAATTATTATGATACAGACTCACAGAGTCCTCTTTTTTCCAATGGCATTATCACTCAGTAGTGTCCTTATTGACTTTGGTGCTCAAATGGTCTCAGATTTGGCTAGCAGGAGCCCCTTCAAGCTGTGTAACACACTTTTATCACTTTTGAACACTTACATATTTCTGGCATTACAGAATGTTCCAAACTCACCTGGTGGCCATCCTGCCCCAACCCTAGAATCAGCTATTTCTCTGAAGGGCCCTGGCTCCTTTCGGTGGGGGAACAGTATCAGAGTCCAAGATCTGGACAGCAGGTATGCTCACTGCTACTGGGTTATCTTCACTTCAAGGCCCTTTCTGTGGACAGAGCTAAGAAATACATGCACGTGTGTGTACACATATGTGTGAATACATGCACGTGTGTGTACATATATGTACGCACACACACAAGTACTCATATGTGCACACATATCTTTTTGAGGTATAAATGACATTGTATTAGTTTCAGATGTCTAACATAGTGACTCAATATTTACATATATTGTGAAATTATCAAATAAGTCTAGTTAACATCTGTCACCATAGTTTACAAAATCTTTCTTATGAGAACTTTTAAGATCTACTCTCCTAGCAGCTTTCAAATATGCAGCACAATATTAACTAGTTGCCATGTTGTACAATACATCCTCATGACTTACTTTATAACTAGAAGTCCGTATCTTTTAATCACCTTCACCCCCCCCTTTCCCTTATCACCTTCCTAGTGATTCTGATGAACCTCTATTCTAGATTATAAAAGCATTTGATAGGCTTTGCTTTATAGGCAAATGACCCAAATAATTTAATGGCCCAAATAATTTTGATTTTTCTCAGCTATGCTGAAGCTCTTTAAAAATTAACAAAGGGGCGCCTGAGTGGCCCAGTTGGTTAAGCATCTGCCTTCTGCTCAGGTCATGATCCAGGGTCCTGGGATCAAGCCCCACATCGGGCTCCCTGCTCAGCGAGGAGTCTGCTTCTCCCTCTCCCTCTCTTCCCTGCTCATTGCTCTTTCTCTCTGCCTCAAATGAATTAAAAAAAAAAAAAATTAACAAAGAAAACATGATGGATAGAGGGGTGCATGAGTGGCTCAGCTGGTTAAGTGTCTGACTCTTGATTTCTGCTCACGTCATGATCTCATGGGTCGTTAGGCTGAGCCCGACAGGCTTTGCGCTCAGGGGGAGAAATCTGCTGGAGAGTCTCTCTCCCTCTCCCAGACTAAGTCAGCCCAGAGAATGAGGACCTTTTCTAATCTGTCTCCCAAAGGGGACACTGTTGAAGGAGGTGATCGAGAGGACGTGATGGCCAGCTGACCTATGAGGCGGATCTGGGCGATCAGAGACTCCTCAGCCCCTACCCTGTTCTTGGAATGCTCATTCTGCCCACCAATCCCACAGTGGGAGCTGTTCCAAGGACAAACCCTTGAGAGAGTAAAGTCTCATAGAGGCCATCTGACCTGAATATGTGACCGAACCCAGTTAAGCCTCTATATAAACTGTGAAGATTTGGCAGGTGGGTGCAGAGATCTACTCATCTTGCAGCCACCCAAGACGCCTCCTACATTCCCTTGCTAATTAAAGCTGCCACCTACCAATCTGGAGTGGGCCTGACTCCCTCAGTCTCTTGCCCTCTGTGTGCCAGGCCAGTCTGCAAACCAACACACACCTTGTCTAACTTCCACAAATTCACGACCCAAGTCCTATTCGCATGCAGCAGCCATAGCATCAATGCATGAGTAACAGCCAATGCCACAGGTATACCTTCGTTAAGCAGGAAGGCACTACAACAGGTTACGATAAAGATTTGTTATGTGATGGGGCGCCTGGTGGCTCAGTCGTTAAGCGTCTGCCTTTGGGTCAGGTCATGATCCCAGGGTCCTGGGATCGAGTCCTGCATCGGGCTCCCTGCTCAGTGGCGAGCCTGCTTCTCCCTCTGCCTGCCACTCCCCCTGCTTGTGTGCACGCGCTCTCTTTCTCGGACAAATAAAATCTTTAAAAAAAAAAAAAAAAATTGTTGTGTGATCTGTTAAATGAAAGTATAGGCTTTATAGACCCAGTTGAATCCAAAATCTGCAGACTAAAGTTACAATGTGTCTTCATATCCATAAAATCATAGGGACTCTAAAGGTCTTTAATTCAATGCCTTCCCTCCTCATACAGGGCTTCTCTAATATATCCTGGTCAGGTCTTTCAATCTCTGAACCCCTCCCTGTTTTGCTATTTAGAAGCAGCAATTCCCACGGTTAGGAAGTTTTTCCATTTCACAGAGTCACCATGAGACTCACATAAAATATGCGCCAACATTCTATAAGTGCGAAGTGCTAAATACATGCACGGTACTGGGCTGAAATCTCCCTCACTGTATTGTAATTCTCACCCACTGTTCCAAGTTCTGCCCTCCAAAGCAAATCACAGTAAGTATAATCTCTCTTCCACAGAGAAGCACTTCTTACACTTGCAGGCAGTTAAAAGTGTCCTCTCAGTTAAACCTAACCAGTTTTGACAACTGTTCCTCACATGTCAATTTGAAGACATCCATTTTGACCACTCTGTTTTGGACACTATATACCTGTCAATATCCCCCTTAAATATGGCACCCAAACTGAACAAATATTTTAATCCTTCAAGTCTCAGCTTCTGAAAACAGTGGAATAGAACGGGACTCTTACCTACCTTGATGAACATATAACATTTCTGTTGCCACAGCTAAAACTAAAATAGGTTTTTTAAGCCTCCCCAAGGATAGCACTACAGATATATACACCCCATTTTTCCTCCAAACAAATAAAAGAATGTCTTAAATTTTATTTCTTGGGGTCTAGCCCCTCATTTCAGCCTATCAAAACAATGGAGTATACTATCAGTCAATATATTGGCTATCCCTGCCTATTTTAAAATAACAGACAGCATCAACCCTAAGTACACAAACCACAAGTTAAACTAATCATTGCCAAATCTGTTTAATTTTTAATCTATTAGCAAAACTGTCAAACTGTATCCCTCTTACAAAGCTGACCTGCTCACTGACAAGTATGGCATTAACATCTATTTACAAAAAATTATGCAAGTTACTCAAAATGACCAATCCAGATACCTATTTTCTGAAAATACACTTTACCTGGTTGATGGACAACTTTTCCAATTGTATGTTGTTCTTCCTCTTCCTCTTCCAGAATGAAGCCTCCTCCCGTGTCAATGATCTTTGGGGCTGCTTTTACATTAGCCATACCTATGAAAAGTAAAAGTGGTGAATGATTTAACTAGGGAAGCCCATATGTTCCTCTGTGCATAAACAGATTCTTTAAATTTAATATATATCAAAGACAAGGATGCCCACTGTTAGCACTTCTACCGAACATCATACTGAAGGGCCCAACTAGCCCAAGTTGGTAAGAAAATAAAACAGGCATAAAGGTTGGAAAGGAGTAAAACAGTCTTTATCCACAGATGATGTGATTATGTATGGAGAATATTCACAAGAATCTACAATTAGAATTAAGAAATAACATCTAGGAAAAGAGGTGTAAAACCTCTACAACGCAACCACCACTAAGAGAAATCAAAGACCTAAATATAAATGGAGAAATAGACCACGCACAGATTGGAAGCCTCAATATTATATTCGGTGCCGAGATTTTTATCTTCAGTACTTTTATTTCAGCATACTGTACAATTTTCATTTTCTGTCTGAGCTAGGACACAGGCCATGGAAAAGACTGAGAAGAACTTGCCTAGAATGTGGTGCTAAGGGCTTGGGGAAACAGCAAGGTGCAACAGCAGAGAGAAAGGGGGCTTGGTCTTGGCATGATTGAGCATCGTTCAGTATCTTGTTCAAGTTAAGGTCTTGACTACTCCAGCTGGTCAAAACCAAGCTCCTGAAGCACAGCGAGGTGCATCCCATGTCACAGCACAGTGGATTCTACCTTGCTTTCCATGATCAGAAGTTTAATACCGGTCTATGTGCTTTTTTGCACCCCTGTTCCACAGCCATTTAGTACAGATCTACAAACCTTTATGAAATCATGAATATGAATTAACGCAAATGAACAACTTTTGTCCTGACTCTATAACATCTCAAGTTGAGAAAGGAATAAGAAAACTAGAAAACAGAAAGGATGAGACCAGAACCATTAAAAGTGGCTGTAATTTGTGGATTCAGTGTCCGTATGAAGATCAAGACATGCTGCCAGCCCCAGCTTCCTGTCATTCTTCCTTTCTTCTGGTTGATGAAAAGAGGTAGTAGAGGACACAGCTCCAAACTGTGCTCAACTACTCACACAGTATGGGACACAGCTTTAGGAACATGTGTACTTCACGTTACAGAGGCAGCCCTGAAGACCTGCATGTCAACCAAACTATTTTAAGTACCCTAGGGAAGATTATTACTGGACTACAGTGGAAAGTTAGATGACAGAAATGTTCATACATGAAAGACACGCAGTCAAGGGCTGCCCTAAGAAAGGGGGAAAGATAGAATTCAGACAAAAATAACAGCCTTTCTTCCTAAAAGTGAGACAATGTCTGGCACAGAAGAAGCAGTTGGTGAAAAGGAAAGGCCGTGAACCCAGTATCAGATGAGCTCAATTCTAGCCCGGATTAGCTTGCGCACTTGCTGGTATGAACCGGCGCAGATCCCTTTCCTTTTCTGGTCCTCAATTACCACCGCAGTAAAACACCAGTACCAAACGCTGCCCTAATTATTTAACAAGTTAACAGTGACAATCAAGTTAGCGAACTTGAAAGACGTGAAACACAACAGGTGCTACTCTTGAGAGCCTCACGAAGGCAGTAGCTCCTGTCTGTTTGCTCTGTGCCCAGCACGTAGCGAGCACTGTGCGGGATCCGGAATATGCACTCAATCGCCCTTTGTTGAGTGGATGAATTCGGGCGCGGTGCAGGATGATTGCTGAAATGGGTGACAAGTCTAAAAGCTTTATACAGGGACTGCCCCTGGGACCGGTGGACGCGCAGCTGGAACAGAAAGGGAAAGCTAGGGCGCCGACCGACACTGGCTGGCACCTCCCGACGGTGAGGGCGGCTGCATCCCCCAAGCCTAAGAGAAGAGCTAGGCCACCCGGGTGCAGTGAGGAAAGCCCCAGCTCCAGCGCGGAACCGCTGGTGGTCATAGCCCGCTTTGAAACGGCCCGCAGAGCGGACTCCCGGGACTGCGGGAGGGCAGACGCGCAGACGCGCCGGCAGCCGACGCTGCACCTAGGACGCGGCACCCGGCCCGCCAGAGGGAAACGGCAGGCGCCGCCAGGGCCCAAACCTCCGGTAGCCCCAGCCGCCGTCGCCGGGTAAGGCCGGGCCGCCAGCCGGGCCTGGCGCAGCATCAGCGCCCGCTGCCGCTTCCGCTCGATGCTCGCCCGCACCGAGGCAGGCAGCTCCGCCGGCGGTTCCGAGGCCGCCGGCTCCCGGGAAGCGTCGCCGGCTGCCGCCATCTCCAAACTCCCCGAAGGGCGAAGGCTCTACCCCCGCGCATGCGCATTGGCGCGCCGAAACGTGCCCGCCACCCCGTCGACTCCACAGTACAGCCTCTGAGAAGGAGAGCGCCTGCGCAATTTGAGGAGACCCGGGCGGAAGGGAGGGCGGTGGGCGGAGCTTGCGCCGGCGTTGGGGTCCGAGAATACCTGCTAGAGTGTAATCTAGAAGGGGCGGGGCTGAAGTCAATTTTCAGGACCCGGTCATCTTTAAGATAGTAGTCTTGCTTGGTGGTTCAGAATATGGTCCTAGGAGTCAGCTCTGGGTTAAGTTCTAGCTCTGACATTTACCACTGGTTGCTGGAACAAGTTATGTAACCTCAGTTCGGTTTCTTCCGTAGTAAAACGAGGATAATTACGGAACCGCTTCCTGGGTTGTTGGAAAAATTAGCTGTAAAGGTTTTCAGCACAATGCCTGGCATATAGAAAGCTTCCAAAAATAATAGCAGCTAGTAACACTAGTAGTGTCTGTCAAAAAAAGATCAATGGATGATTCATCTGACTTTACTTTGAAAGCATGGCCTAGGGTACAGAGCCTTAGATTTGAAATGGGAACCCCTGGGTTCAAACTCTCACCTGCTGTGTGACATTAGGCAAACACAGCACCTGGTACCAAAGCTGGTGTGCATGAACTTGGCTATATTTACCATAGAATATTCCTTCAGTGTGGGTGAGATGCCACCAGGTAGACAGTGGGTTTGGATTTGGGCCAAATCCTGAATTACCAAAAGTGTGGTAAATGGAGCACTTTGCAAGAAACATTGCTTGCTTTTCCAAAAATGTATGCTTTTTTATTACAAATGAAATTTAATTGAAACCAGGAAACACATTATGTTTTAATTACTACATATACCATTTAGGACTAGTTTTCAGAACAATCTGACACACCGAGGTTTCACACTTGTTTTCCATGGTTAAAATTTGAGCAGCACAACCTAGTGGTTCTAATCTATTGATTATATATATATTTAAGCTGGAGAACATTATATAAAGCAGATAAATGCTCAGATCTTCTGGTTGAACTGGAGATGGAGACCTCAAGAAATCCCTGTTCCTTTTCCCCTCAGATCCCTTTCTCTTCCTATCCATTGACCTTGTCCAGATGACAAAATCTCAAATTCCATATAACACGAAAAGCACAAACAACAAAAGAAAAAAATAGATAAATTGGACTTCAAAATTAAAAACTTTTGTACATCAAAGAACATCAAGAAAGTGAAAAAGATAACTTACAGAATGGTAGAAAATATTTGCAAATCCTGTATCTGAAAAGGGCCTAGTATCCAGAATACATAAAGAAATTTTATGACTCAATAACAAAAAGGCAACCCAGTTTTTAAATAAGCAAAGGACTTAAATAGACATTTTTCTAAAGACTATATACAAATGGCCAACAAACACATGAAAAGATATTCATCACTACTCATTAGGGAAATACAAGTCAAAAGCAGAGTGAGATACCACTTAACCACCACTAGGATGACTAGAATTAAGGGGTAAAAAAATAACACAATAACAAGTGTTGGCAAGAATGTGGAGAAATTGGAGCCCTCAAACATGACTGGTAGGAATATAAAATGCTGCTATGGAAAACAGTTTGGCTATTCAAAAAGTTACACATAGAATTACCACATGAGTCAGCGGTTCCATTCTGCTTTATACAATGTTCTCCAGCTTAAAAAAAAAAAAAAATATATATATATATATACACACACACACACACTCAATAGAGTAGAACCACTAGGTTGTGCTGCTCAAATTTTACCCATTGAACACTGGTGTGAAACCTCAGTGTGCCAGGTTCTAAAACTCTGCCCCAGCAATTCCACATAGCTCAGAGAATTGAAAACAGGTATTCAAGCAAAAACTTGCACACAAGTGTTCATAGCAGCACTACTCACAGTAACCGGAAGGTTAAAACTACCCAAATATCCATCAAATGATGAATGGATACATGAAATGAGATATGCCCATACAAAAGAATATTATTCAGCCAAAAAAGGAAGAGTACCAATACATGCTGCAACATGGATGAACCTTGAAAACATTATGCATTCCTCTTCTATGAAACATCCAGAATAAGCAAAATCATAGCGACAGAAAACCAGATTAATGGTTCCCAGGGGCTGAGGGGAGAGGGGGCTGGGGAGTGAGTGACTGCTTAATAAATATGAGGTTTTCTTTTGGGGTAATGAAATGTTCTGGAACTAGACAGTGGTGACAGTTGCACAACATTGTGAATGCACTACGTGTTACTAATGGTAAACTTTATTTTATAATAAATTTTAAAACAACTCAAATTCTGACTAGGCCCAGCCAGGTGATGGAAGGTAATGAACCTAACTCGGGGTGAGACGCAGGCAAACTGAGTGTCGAATCTCCTCTTAAAGGGGGCAGCTACCACCCAGCTCCTGCAGGTAGTTGCCAACAGAATCTGGGCCCATTGTTGCCAGACTGGCCAATGCTTCAGGAAAGTAACTGCTTCTCAAACTTTTATGCACTCGGTGATCTTGTTAAAATGCAGATTCAGAATCAGTAAGTCTTTGGTGGGACCTGAGAATGTGCATCTCCAGCAAGCTCCTGGTGGGGCTGCAGCTCCACCAACCACACTTTGAATAGTGAGGGTCCAGCTCAGAGGTTCTCAAACTTGAGTGCACACTGGAAGCACCTGGGGAGTTTAACACTGATGCTTGGGCCCCACCTCCAGAAATTCTGATGTCATTGGTCAGGGTACTATAACTCTCATGGGCAGCAAACTTCGAAAGCCAACCCCCTAATGACCCTCTAGACTTTACATAGCTCTACGGGCCTCTGAGGCTATGCAGTATTTCTGGAGAATAAGGTAACAGTTCTTCCCCAAGGTAACCTTTTGAGAATAATTAGCCCCTAGAACCTTCTCCCCAGCAAAGCATTCCAAATTTGAAGGATATGGACCATACATAGTTCAGATGCTGTACAAGTATTTTGTAACTCTTGACAACCTGTTGCATTTCCTTTGACCAGTAACTCCCTCTTCTTCGGTGTCCTGACGTTTGTTAGCAAGTTTCATGTAAATTGGGTCTGAATTGTTAGCTGATACCTCAACCAAGCTAAAATGAGACTCCTCCTTTAGAGAAAGGAAGAGTGCATGTCCCGATCTGTACATCCCACACAGTCACAGAGTCTGTGGGGCTTGCCCAGAGCACACCAGCATGAGTCATTTTGGTGCGGGCACAAAAGGAAAAGGGGCCAGGAGAATAGACTGGTGGATGTGTTCTTGCCTCTCCCCACTCACGGTCTCTGGAAAACCTGTGACTACCTCTCTTCCTGCTTTGTACCTCTCTTCTCCCAGACCAACCGTGATCCTGGCTGAAAGAGGGGTAATTAACAAAGAACAGAAAGAATTGAAAGCACTAACCAGAGCCTGAAGAACAGGCAGGCAAGAATGGAAGTCAGGAAGGGGAAGGAGAAACTTGGCAGTGTTTCCTGACAGGGCCTCCTCGCTAAGAGCATTACTGGAATTATTCATGCCTGAGGTGACAGGATGTGAACATATTTGTCTTTATTATCGAGTAAATAGTACATGTGTGTGGCTTTCTTTTTTAATTTTTCTCCTGACTCCCCAGGGCTTTACCCCTTAATGTGGTCACTTTGAACATGGTTGGCATAAATTCACAATAGAAGAACATCTGTGGCAAGGAGCACGCCAAGGCAGGGAACTGTCTGGGACAGGGATGCAACAGCACAGAAATTAGCCCAATCCTCTTGGCTCAAGCTGTCTTGATTCAGTGATCCAGGAAATGCAGTCTCTTTTGGTTATGATTGACCCTCCTTCTGAAGAAACTTCAATTTCCACCTCCCTCCACCAAAAGATAAAGGGATTGAGGCAAAACCATCATACTGAAACCTTGATCAATAAAATGTGTGTGCAAAGAGATTTAGAAAACATCTTAGAGACTCACAAGAATTTTCTTTTCCAGAAGCAGTAAGGAGTGGGAAGGCCCAAGTGATTTCACTTAGTATAGGGCCTGGGGAAAATGACTATCACCACTGGAAGCCAAATCTTCTGTTAATCATGGGCCAGCAAGGGCAGATCTTCCCTACTCTGCATTCCCCAGATCCTGAATATGGTCCAGGGGACCTTGCTTCTTCCTGCCTCTTCCAGGAAGCCTGCCCTGATTCCCTCCCCTGGCTGTCTATGAGCTCATATGTGCTGGTATTGTGGCACTTAACTCGCTACACAAGAGATGATTCCTACCTCCCATCCGTCCTAGAGTATCAGGTCCTTGAGAGCTGGGACTGTCTGATTCAACCCAGTATCTCCAGGGCCTACCACAGTGTCAGGTACAGAATAGCTGCTCAGTATACATTTGTGGAATTAAATAAATAGAATGAATAATGGGGCACCTGGCGGGCTCAGTTAGTTAAGCGTCCAACCCTTGATCTCAGCTCAGGTCTTGATCTCAGGGTCGTGAGTACAAGCCCCATGTTGAGCTCCATGCTGGGTGTGGAGCCTACTTTAAAAAAGAAAAGAAAAAAGAATGAATAATGCTCAATAAGCCTAGTTGGATGTCTCACTGGCACTGAAACTCAAGGTCCAAAGCTGAATCCTACAACCACCTCAGCTCTGCTTACACTGGTGATGGAATACTCTCCTCAAAACAGCCCATCCCATTGTTGTCCAGCTTTGCCCATTATTCATTGTAGTAATAATAATAGCAATAACAATAGTAAACACTTATATGGTGCTTACTGTATACTCGATATTCCTTTAAGTGTTTCAGATTTATCAACTCTCTAATTTTCATAACTATTCAAAGAGTATACTCATTAATCTCAGTTTATAGATAAGACAACTAAGGCCCAGAGATGTTAAGTAACTTGTTCAAGGTCATAAGCTCATAAGTGACAGAGCTGGGCTCAACCAGGCACAGACCAGCCCCAACATGAATATTCTCCACCACTAAACTGTAAGTCTCTAGATTAGAACAAGTCTTCCTCTTACTTCCTCCACTAGTGCTTGTTCTGGGTGAGTTAGTGCAGAGCTGAAACCAGC